TTTGGGATAAACAGCCTACATAAAGCAACATTATGCCTCAGATAACTGCAGGACTGTCCTCAGGCGGGCTGGATAGAAGCAGATGATGGCATGTGGCATGACAGAAAATGACCCAACCCTCCTTTTGATTTTCCAGAAGTCTTCTTGATTGCTGGAGGGAACAGAATTATGGATTATCTGAATATTGATTTAATCTTAGATAACATGTATGTACCTGCCATCAATTCAAATCCACATTGAACTAGAAAATAGGTACTGTGGAACAATTTTTTCCATTCAGTTGAATTGGACATAGACTTATTATGATTTAAAATATTGCCATGAGTTTCAAAAAGGGAATGATGAATACTAAAAGCAATAAATCTAGTGCCCATATCTTCTATATAACATGAAATACTGCCAATTTCCTCATGAGTAGCTTTGTGCAGGTGATACTAGCTGGATTTATATAACACACCAAGATTAAACACAGATGGCTAATTCAAAGTGTGAGGTAAGTATTGCTATACTGGATACAGTTCTATATTCCATATTGAAAACTACTACAAAGAACAAAAATATATGTTGTGAAGTTCAGAGTGCCATTTCATATCTTATATAAAAAGACAGTGGCTGTAGTTGCATTGAATTTTAACACATATATACTTAATATGTTGCTTTAGAAAACTAGCCTTGTGCAATATGAAATTATACTGATTGGATCTGCACAAGACACACTAAGGGATCAACTAGCTAGCCATATTTTATGCCAGTATATATTGCAAATTCAATCATTGAAGGTTTGGATAAAAGAACTTGTATTCCTTAATGAAATTGGATGTGCTTTCCTCTCAGTCTTGACTCCTAATAACTGCCTGTTTTTCAGAAGCGCTTGCTATTGCCTTTTTCCTACGGCTGAGAAGGAGTAACTCGCCCAGAGTTATCTAGTTAGCTTCATGCCTAAGGGAGGATTACAATTTAGCCTTCTGATTTCTTGTGCAGTGTTAAAAATGATCACATCTAATTGGCTCTCTTAATGAATTTATTTATTAAATTTATACCATCTCGCTAATGCAGTGCTTCTCAATTATTTTCTGTCATGCCCCCCTAGGAAGAAGAAAACATTTCGCGCCCCCCGCGCGACTGTAAAAAATTTTTTTCTGTACAGAGGACCAACTTCCGGGTCTAAAAGTCACACGGGCGGGTTTGGCCAATCAGGATAGAGCATCATGTCTATCCAATCGGGTCCTTTGCATGTGTCACGTGCGTTGGCGGTCATGTGGTCCTCCGCGTCGGGCTGCCGCTTGCGAGTGAGTCGGATGATCCGATCTAGAAATCCAATATGACAGTATTTGCCGAGGTCAAACGAGCCCCCCTTTACGGAGCCTCGCGCCCCCCCTGGGGGGCGCGCCCCACTATTTGAGAAGCACTGCGCTAATGTGACTGTGGGTGGCTTATGAAGTTAAAAATCCAGAAAACAATACAAAGGCAACCAACTCCCCCCCCCAAATAATTAAAAACATTAAAAACAAACTTTAAAAAATTAAAACATAATCAGCAGAGAGCACCATTATGTTGTACCTAAAAGTACAACCTCTTAGCAGGCTCTCTACCAACATCACTGGATTTCTAAACCAGTTGACAACAGCCATGTTTTCAGGCTCTTCTGGAAGGCCAACAAAGTCGGTACCAATCTCGCCTCAGGGCAAATGGTATTCCAAAGGGTTGGCTCTGGCAGAAGAAAGGTCTCTTCTTGGATGCCATCAGCTGACATTCCTTTGTGCACTGCATCTGCAATGTGCTCTTTCTGCCAGATCTGATGGGACCAGTAGATGTAATTGGGATGAGGTGGTTCCACAAATAACCCAATGTCCTGTCAAGTAGGGCTTTATAGACCAGCAGCAGCTTGAAGCAGAGCAGAGGTGTAATATGTGGTGATCCAGGTGTGCACATGTCTGTGCTGTTGCATTTTGCACTAGCTGAAGCTTCTAGATGCTCTTCAAAGACAGGTCCATGAGAGTATATTACAGTAATCCATTCACCCATAAAGCACTATATGGAATACAAACATAAGAAATACATAATTCAAAAACCAAAAATAGTGCCTTCAATTACCTGAGTGTCTAGATATTCAGTTTGGATACAGAAAAAAACCAATAGTTAGAGCAATTTTGAACTTGTTTTTCAGGAATGATTTTAGCAATATAAACAGATTAGCGCTGTTTCACATTATTTGCTGGCGTCACTGCTCTGTACTGTTATGATTCTTTTTAGGGAAAAAACTGGAGCAGCTTTGTCTCTCTGTGCTTAGTTTTGAATAATAAAAGCAAACTATCTTTCTCCTAGGTTAGTTCAAATGCAGATTCAAAGGAAAACAGGTATAATAGTATTCACTTGCTGTTTTACAGTTTTGCTAATGTTTTCTCCCCACAGGGTGATGAAAGTTAGCCCAGAAGGAAATATTAAAAAGGGCAGAAAAATATATTTTTCCTCAAAAGGACTTTTTAAAACCAAACTTGGCCCCAAATCTATCTCTCTGCCCCAAGCAAGACTTTAGCCCTGTACAAATGCAGATGTAAAACCATCAGAAAGTTGAAGCCAGAGCAATCAAGACAAAAGAGAAGATCTGCATACCCCACCCAAACTCTAGGAGTCAGCCCCATCACCTGGGAAGCAGGATATGATAACAGAATTAAACCATAGATATTAAGGCCTAGACAAACACTCAGAAACAGTCTCAAGGTTCATACCACAGGAACAGGAAACTATTCCAAACAAAAGGCTAGGGGGGGTATAAAACCTACTGCCCATGTGCTCAATCTCTGTGCCCTTCGCTCTCTTCTTCTCTCCTCTGCACTTTCCTGAAGATCATCTTTCTGCAATAAACTGTAACCTTCCCAAAGCAGTCACCATGTTTGCTTATTTATTCCCGGCTTGGATGAACCAGGATGAAGACTGCTTAGTTTTGAATAATAAAAGCAAACTATCTTTCTCCTAGGTTAGTTCAAAAGCAGATTCAAAGGAAAACAGGTATAATAGTATTCACTTGCTGTTTTACAGTTTTGCTAATGTTTTCTCCCCACAGGGGAAAACTGTTTAATTTGAGCTAAATTACTTTTGGTACAAAAAAACCCCTCTGAAACTATTGATACTATTCTTTTAAAAATGATAAGTGTTCCTGCTGTTAGGGAAAAAGCTCCCAGGATTAGACTGTATTGCAGTCATCTCGCTCCTCAAACAATGAGATATTTCAGCAGCAATGATTTCCCTCTTTGTACAAGAATGCACTTAAAATTTATATTGTAATGACTATTGTGTTTGCTTAAAAACTAACAATAGGCTATAGCTGAAACAAACATTCATTTGATAAACAGCATAGATGGATTAGATCTCCCAAAGAGGCCAATTGCCCCTCAAGGATATCTCATTTTGGCCAAAATTGACCTTCATCTTATGTTTTCTTAAGTCAAACTGTTATAAGTAATTCCACAAAATGTAAAGTTCTTCAGGTTGTAGAGTACAGTATCGTGTTCTTCTACAGATAGAATTGCCTTGAACAATTAATGGAAATATATTCCAGGGCATATAAAATGGCTGCTCTGAGTCAAGGACTTCTTTATGAATGCATGAAAGTAAGTAACCCAACTTAGAGATGACTGGCTGTTTAAAAATAATCATTTGTTTATTCTAAAATGGTCTAAACGTTATCTGCATTTGTTTATTCTAAAATGGTCTAAACGTTATCTGCAAATTGGATTGTAATCACTTTGCAGAAGTACTGCAGTAGAAGGCTGAATTTCTTGAGGGACTTTCTAAATGGTTGCAGGGTTGAAGATTGCCTAACTTTGTGGGGAATGGGGAGAATGTTGTGTAAGGTGGGTGCCATGGCAGAGAAGGCTTGCCTCCCAAAACACACCAAATACAAGTCCCTGGACTATGGAACCCGTAACATGCCTTCTCTGTCAGAGCTAATGGGATAGGCTGATGTAACTGGGGAAAGGCAGCACCTGGAATTGGACAAAAACAGACTGGAACCAACACAGCTCATGAAGCAGAGGTATTGTATGTGCACTTCAGGAACCACACATAACAACCTGCGCCTCTGCATTTTGCACTAGTTGAAGCTTCTGGATGCTCTTCAAGGGCAGTCCCATGCAAAGCGCATTACAGTAGTCCAATCTGGAGGTGATTAGGACCTGAGGGACTGTGAGCGGAACCTCCTGATCAAGGTAGGAGTACAACTGATGCACAACATGAAATTGTGCAATACTCTCTCAGCCACAATTGCCACCTGCTCTTTGAGGGGTAGTGAGTCTAGGAGCCCAAGACTCTTTGTCTGGGGTGGTATCACCAGATCAGCATCAAAGTTCATACACAGCAGCAGATTAAGCTAGCAGTATTTTGTGGTGTAAGACAGAAGAGAGAGAGTAAACCATAGATAATGTTTCATTTGGAGTATCTGCAATATACTCTCTTGAAAAGTAGCAATTTATTATAACAATTTATTATACCTGAATTCAGTGAACAAAATTCACTTTATATACCATCCTAATCAAATGACCCTCAGCAACATTGCTGTCTGGAGTTACAGTTTATATATAGATATAAAAAAGTAACATAAATCAAAAGATTTATTTTTTATTTTGAGTATTACAATTGCAATGTAATAAAAATGCAATATATAAAAGTTTGGAAATAAATTCCACTGAATCCAGGAAGCTAAACTTTTAGTACCCGTGCATAGTACTAAAGTGCCTAAGATTGCAGAGACAATTCACGTATCTATTTTCCTCCCCATTTATTATTACTGTCAACACGTTAACAGCGCCTATAATTTCTTAAAGCGGCAAACAGAGCGGGAGCAAACTGTTTACAATAGACTCCTTCAGCGCATGCTCTGTTTAGCAAACGGGCGGGCGAACAATCCTCCCGTTTAGAACGCGTCACGTCACAATTTCACATTCTTCCAATGGGTGGTCTGAGACCGGAAGACGACACGAAATCGTTGAGCGAACCGCTAGTTGCTCTCTAACCGGAAATAGCCGTTGTAAAGTCAGTCTGAAGCTAGCATGAATGTCCGGGCTTTCCCGTTACTCTCTGGGTCCTAAAGCCCGCCCAGAAAAAGCCCGGTTTCTTGCAGATTGTCCATATCCGATAGTTTGGTGATCTCATGATTGCTGCTTTCAAATACAGGCGCGGCAGACAGGTACGAAGATGGGAGAATAGCAGATTTCGACTGTGGCGTTACGGTAGATTGGTAGGAAGAGTTGGAAACCAAGAGGAGGAGGAGGAACGCTTTGCTTTGGGCTGGAGAGAGACAGATAGAGCTATGATGTTTTTCAGACCTCCGTGGGTCAATCCGGATTGACCAGGGAGGTGTGAAACAGGGATTACAAGCAGCGGTAAAGCCGGCAAATGTAAGAAGGAATATTCATTTTATAGGAAGCAGGATGAAACCAATACAAATTCACATGTAAAGTCTTTCCTGGCCCTGAGACGGTACAGTGAGAAATCTGCCACTTGTTGAACCCTTTGTAGTTTTTCTAAAACTATGGGTTAGGGTCTTAGGTGTGAGGAAGTTATTTCGAGTTATCTCAAGTCCTGCCCGATGTAAATTTGCTCTATATAACGATGGAAACTTGACAATGTACAAATGACACCTTTTGCCTTCCTTTCAAATGTGCTTTCCTGGTAGATGATATAAAATTTTACTCCATACCAGTTGATTTAAGATGATTGGGATTTGTTTCAACCATTTAAAAATAAGATGAATAAGATCTGTTGCTAAGCAACTTAAGCCCAGGAATGAAGCTGAGAGCGGCCTGATAGCAAAAAGGAATAATGTGGCTCTTTAACTGGGTTTGATTTTGGCATCTGTCTATTTAACAAACTTGGGGAGATGAGTTGTATCACAATTCCACCCTATCAGCCCTTTCAGGTAGGAAACAAGACATCCCCAAAAATCCCAGAAATGCCACTTTATTGTTGCATTATGTAATAACTGAGTCTTGAAAATTTGACATATTCTCTCCCTGTCCCCTCCCCCATATCAAGGTGGAGCAATCTTGAGTTTCTCATTCCCTTTCAAGGGTAAGCTGATGTTTACACAGCAGTTGTTGATATACCTTCTTCAAGACCATCTTGTACTTCTTTACTCACACACCTTATACCAGGGCTCCCAAACTGTGACTTATACCTCCCTTGAGAAGATCTAGAGAGAATCTGGGGAGATGTGAAGAATCCTTTAGTTGTATGTTGTTACAAAAAAAAAAAAAACACCTTTTGCAAAGTTTTATGTTATCTTTTTAATTGTTCATTTGTGTTCATTTTGATATTTGGATTTTTAGGGGAGGCATGAACCTCAAGATTACATTAAAGGGAAGTGTGAAGGCAAAAAGTTTAGGAGCCTTGCCTTTTATTGACAAGAGTCAGACAGTCTGTATGATCCAGAAGACTTTTATTTGGATATAGTTTTGGGTCTTTGCTTTGGGTTTGAGTAAATTGGTAGCAACGAGGAAGTCCAAGTAAACGCCTTGCCACATTTCTAGAACTACAGCTGGCTTAACTGTAATCAGTTATTTAGGTAAAACAGAATGAGTTGGTTTGATGGATTTGCTTTTCTCCAAGTGATAAGTCTGTAACATAGTGTTCATTAGTGTCTGTTAAGGGAATTGTTTTTGCTGATTTATCTGCTAAACAATCTAGAGATATACATCACTGAATCCCAGTTTACTGCAAAAAAAATTGAACAATTGGGACCAACATACCCCAAATTGGAGTCTTAGAGGTACTGACCTTCTCAAAATCTCCAACCAGAAGACAGGCAGGGGTAATGGGAGCTATACAGCTGGCTGGATGACATGATGGCTTCATCATTGCACGTTTTTAAAAAGAGATTAGAGAGCCATTTATCCAGAAAGATATAAGGTCTCCTGCCTGAGTAGGGAGTTCCACTAGAAAACCTCCAACCAGCTATGTTGTACTGTTACTGAAAAATTGGGAAAAGCATTACTTTTTAATCAGTGAATTGGCAGCCATTGATTGAAGGTAAATGCCAATTGTGCTACCACTATCAATTTCTTTTGTTGCTTTTTCAAACTGAACGAGACTAGCATATTTATTTTATTTCCTAAATTTATATCCCATGTTTTCTTCAGGACTCAAAGTAGCTTGCACAAGAATCTCCATTTTATCCCTACAACAGTGTTTCCCAAACTTGACAATTTTAATCCTCATGCCTTAAAATTGTCAAGTTTGGGAAAGACTGCCCTACAACAATGACCTTGTAATAGGTAGGTCTGAGAGAGAGTGAGTTCCTGTTTTTAAGGATGGTTTGTACAGTCTTGGTTCAACATTTTAATTTCTCCAGACACATTGGCTAATTTATTGTTTCTAGTGGCAATTTGAGAAATTTAGAAGCACAGCCTGCTATTCAAAAAGTCACTTCTAAGTGCATCCCAAATGACCATTATTTTTGGATATCTGACAAGATTTATGTTTTTTCTTAAGCCTGTGTTTTATTTCTTAAGCTACTTCTTAAGCCTACAATAGATTTTTGTAACATGAAGATAGAGGAGCTAGAAATAATGATAATATTAAAGTTTGTTTTGTGACTCTTTGGATTTTTGTTACTGGTTTCTGTAAACTATTGGGCAATGATAATTGAATACTTTAATAATGATGAATTCTTTAATTTGTGATTAAATCCAAATAATTACATTATTGCAAAAACGACATGACTGAGATGTTTATTTAAATCCGTGTATTGTAGGTTTTAATGTGACTTCAAGAAGTGGGAAAACAAGTGATGTTTGAAATCTTGTGGTGCAAACATATTGCATATGAAAATAGCGATGTTTGTTCAGAGAACATAAAGCAGAAAATTAGTTGTAATGGATTCTCAAGTGAATTACTCAGTGTCTGAAATGAAACGGTAAGTTTAATTCCTATAATTAACAAAAATAAAGTTAGGACACTTTCTATTATCTGAATAGTACTCTTGATCATGCAATTTCTGCCATTTGTTAGTTTTGAAAACAATGCTAACTGCAGGAAATATATATTTGGAAAAAATGTTTAGTACCAGATAACAATTTAGAATGTACAAATCATACTGTTAATACTTCATAATTTGAGATTTCAAATTTGCACTAGTGTTACAATAGTCATGTGTTACCAAATAATTATCCCATCCAATAGTGCTGGTATCTTAGTGAAAATTCAGCATTCTGTAGGATTGTGTTAGCTTACTCTAGTTGGTTTTAAAAATAACTCTACACCTACATCACAAAATCATTAGCAAAATCATTTAGATTTTGTTTGAGAATACATAGCAAATATAGGATTGTGCTATAAATATATCTAAGACAACTTCTCTTAATAAAGCATTTCTGCAATTCCTTTAATTAAGAATAGCAAAATACAAGTAATCCTTGAGTTACAACAGTTCATTTAGTGACCGTTCCAAGTTACAGTGGCACTGAAAAAAGTGACTTATAACTGTTTTTCACACTTATAATCCTTGCAGCATCCCCTTGGTCATGTGATCAAAATTCAGATGCTTGGCAACTGGCTCATGTTTATGATGGTTGCAGTGTCTCCGGGGTCATGTGATCACTGTCTGACAATCAGAGTCAATGGGGAAGCTGATTCACTTAACCATGTTACTAACTTAACAGCTGTGGCAAAAAAGGTTGTAAAATGGGGCAAAACTCACACAACTGTCTCACTTAGCAACTGAAATTTTGGGTTCAGTTGTCGTAAGTTGAGAACTACCTGTATAGACATACACACATCCGGTATATACATATACACATATGCTGTATACACATTCATACACTTTTCATGGTTCTTCAATCCAGTTTTGGTAATAAAACATCACTGACAGAAAGATACCTTATTTTCTAAATTTTGTATTTTACTTAGCAAATAAAATGCAACTAATGGGTAAAATTGCAGCTTCTTTTCTAATAAACAGGACGATTTGAGCTGTGAGACTCAAATTAGTCAGAGAAGTGTATTTAGTCCCTGTCAGAAGTTGTTTCCATTTTTTCTTCAAGATGTGATTTTTCATGAAAGTTTTTTTAAAACTCTTATATTTATATTTATAATTGCCTGCTGACAATTAAGTATTTTTTTAATGTGGGCAGCTGGCTTTTCCTCTTGTCTTACCATGTTTATATTCTTTTCCTGCTTACCATCATGTTATGTCATATCTATAACATTTTTTATCCCTGAATTGTTCTGCCAGTCACTTCCCATATATTATATGAAAAGTAGATGCAGTATTTTAAAAAGTTGCTTAATTTTCCATTTATGGTATATTATATTAAAAAAACAGGTATTTTATCACATTTCCTCACTGTCAATGCAAGAAAAAAAATTGTTATTTTATGTGAGGTGGTTGCCATAGTTACCTTAGTAACTTAGATATAAGATTTAGTTTTGTTTCATGAATCTTTCCCTTTTATTTGAAAAGCTGAGTAAGGTTTATGAGTTAAGAATTATAATTCCAGGTAGTTTATATTTTGGCGCCTAAAAGGATAACATTAAAAGAGTTGTATGCATGCATCTTCTAGTAATAACAAATTAATAGTAATTAGATTGAGCTAATTCATCAGGGTAAACTTATTTTCCCTCGATATCAAGGAAACCAGTCAACAACTCTCTGTTTCTCATTAACTGAATATATGGCAGCTGGTAAGATGCAAAACATCCGTATTTTAAAAGCTATGCACAGGAAAAAAAGTATTCTGTTGCAGTTATCATGAGAAGCCACTCCTCCTGGACCTTCCCCATTTACAGAATTATTTAAGCTGCATTATTTTTCTAAATAGTGCTTGAAAAATGCTGCCTGAACAAAATAAATGTTATTTTTGTTTTTATTTTAAACAAGAGGCAAAGGAAGAGATGTAAGGTTTGAAAGAGATTGACTTTTATCATGGGTGGCATCTCTTGTGTTTAATTTGTTTCTACCCTGCCTTCATTTTTTGGCATGACTCACAACCCTTTAAAAATGTAACATATAAAGCAGAATTTTTAAATCAGTGCAGCTAGAATTAAATATAAAAAGTTGATAATCTTTAAAATTTCCTTCAGTGATCTGCAGTCACAGATGTAGTAGCTTCAGATACATTCTTGAATGCAATGGTAGTGAATAGGATGCAAAACAGTTCCATTAATAGCCAGAGCTCCAGAGTATATTACCTTGGAAACGAATCTTATAAATTGAATGGGACTTAGTTCTGAGTGAGAAATGTAACCTTGCTGCCTTGATTATTTGAAAATTCAAAGCTTGTATGACTGAGATCATTGTTAGTGAAAAGTCCTTGCATTTTTAAACAGGAACTTTGCAAAGACATTTCTCCACAATCATAGTGAAGCTGATGTGGAAACAAAGGAAGATCTGAGAAGAAAACTCCATCAAGCCAAGAAAGAGAAACTTGACATAACTGCTAAACATAATGCAGAGGTAAATTCATTGTTGTTGGTGGTGTGTGTGTGTGTGTGTGTGTGTGTGTGTGTGTGCGCAACATTCTTATATTGATGACCTTTTCCTCCAACTTGCCACCTTTCTGATGTGTCTGTGAAGAACTACACCAGCCTTCCTCAATGATGCTAATGAAGGGATTTGCATTAGCTTCTGCACTCTTGGACCCTGGTTTAAAAGAACTTCTTTCAATCTTATCCAAGCCCAGTCTTTGTGGTATTAAAGTTACTACGTCTCTTAAACCAACTGCAGCATTTTTTTCTTTTTGCAGGCTTACATGAAAGCCTAAAAGAGAGAGCTGCTTTAATGAATACAATAGGTACTGTGCTTCATGAGATCCAAAGCACTTCTAAGTCATAGTCACAACATGGAAAGTCATATTTAAGATTCTTCCAAATGTTTCTTTTTTTTTCTTGGATTTTTTTCCATCTCTTTTTTATAAAATCAGAAACCAGAATACAGGTATAATTCTCATGGGAAAAGAACTTCATTTATGTTTTAAAAAAATATATGATAGGCTGTAGGTGATTAAAAGAACTCAATATTCTACCTTAGTGGGGTCTTCTAAGTTAGATGTGCTTCTTGCATTTTTTTTATTGTTATACACAATTTGCTTTGAAGTCCCTGTCAATAACATAGCATTTTTGATTGATTTTTATTAATAAAATGTTAGTAATAAAATTTGTTTTATACAGTATTACACAATGCATTATGTTATTTTGATACAGTGGTATTTATACAGTGTTGACTGGAGTTTCTTAACACTCTAAGGTTTAGATGACTTGGGCTATTAAAAAGAAAAAGAAAAAGCATTATATACATGACCCATATCTGCTGGGCAGTGTTATGCTTCAGGGTTTAGTGATTGTAGTCTAGAAAACAGATTTCCTGATGTTTCATTGGGAACTCTACAGACGCCATCTATAGTTGCTCGGAAATGTCAGTCAATCTGTTACCTAGACCATAATCACTAAACCCTGAAGCCCAACACTGCCCAAAATGTATTAATCAGTATGAACTGTTTAAGATGTTGATCTTAATAAACATATGGTTATTTAGCTTTTACATCCAAAGCTTGAATGTGAGGGGATTGTTGTTTAAAAAATATGAGTCAAAAGTTCCCTAGGGCTCATAGAGTTAATTATGTACTCAGTGAGATTCCTGCTGTAATTTGCATCTTGCCTGTAATATAATTCCTGTTGGACTTGGAAGGAAGCTGGAGATAATGCATTTCTCCTCATGGTGGTGATGACTGGAAAGTGTTCATACAATATAACGAAAATGTAGGCCTGGCTGGTAAATTCAGGTAGTTCTCACTTAACAACTGCAATCGGGACCAGCAACTCCATTGCTAAGCAATGGGGTTGTTAAGTGAAACATCACATGACCATGATTCCAATTCCTCTGTGTTTGTTAAGAGAATCACTTGCAGTTGTTCAATGCAGTATCACGTTACTACGACTGTCAAGTTACTGCTGGCTTCCCAATTCACTATACTTGTCAGAAGCCAGCTGTGAAGATCGCAGATAGAGTTCCTGTAATACTGGGATGATCATAAGTTCAAGGACTGGTTGTAAACCTACTTTTTCAGCACTGTTGTAAGTCGCTAAATAGGCTAGACAATAACCAAGAACTACCTGTATAAAATGAGCCGAGGTGGCGCAGCAGTTAGAGTGTAGTACTGCAGGCCACTTTAGCTGACTGTGTTCAGCAGGTCAGCAGTTCAAATCTCACCGGCTCAAGGTTGACTCAGCCTTCCATCCTTCCGAGGTAGGTAAAATGAGGACCCAGATTGTTGGGGGCAATGTAAATATATATATACATTGCTTACTGGTGTACACCACTTAGAGAGTGCTTGCACTTAAAGCGGTATATAAGTCTCACAAATAAATAAATAAATAAATAAATAAATAAATGATTTAGAGTAGAAAATGAAAATAATAAAGAGTCTTGACGTGCAAAGCCCATCTTCCATTGCATATGAGCTACTGTAAGTCTTGTCAACTCAACACTGAAGAAAATACTTCAACAATTAAGAAGTGAATGGTTTGACACTTAAAATAAGCCAACAAAGCAGCTTTCAAATGAAATGAGCATTTGAGATGAAAAAGTTTTAACGGGCATCGTGAATGAAAGTTCAAACTTAACGCTGCGTGCAGCTTAGCATAATGGTGATTCAAACTAAGACCAGACAGCCTTTTATAAAAAGAAAGGGGAAGTATGATGGATTTCATGCAAACTTTGTGGTAATTTAATAGACTTAGGCTGGGTTCTAATTTTCAGAACGTGAAAGTGAATTGTGAAGTTGCTGGTGGTGACAGGAATGCAGCATCCTTATGTTAAAAGTAGCTATCAATGAAATTGATGAAACAGCACATCAGATCCTTAGCTTTGATGGCACAGAATTGTTCTGGAAGAGAATGTCAGAAAGAATATACACTTCCAAAGAGGAAAAGACAATGCAAACTTTTAAGGCTGTGAAATATCAACACGTCCTTTTATTTGGAGCTATTGTAGCAGGAGATGACAAACTAAAACTGTTTACCATTGGAAAACCCTTCTGCTTTTAAAGGCATCAGAAAGACTGTGTCCTTTCTATGCATTATTGTTCAAATCCAAAAGTTTGCAGCTCAACGGCTTTGTTTCTAGACTAGATTCCTCAATTGATTTAATCCCGGGGGAGAAAAGGGAAAGTACCATTCATGGTTTGGTTTTGATTTTTATGGGATTTGTAATGTTTTACAGTAACTGTATTAATTTTCAAGTATTATGTGATTAGGTAATTTACAATCATGTACAGGCATTTTGGCATATAAACAACAGAGGAAAGAAAAAAAAAGGAAAATCCAAATGATTTTCACAAACCTTTCAACCCAATTTGTTTCAAGGCATCTAAGTGTAAACAATTGCATAATAGGAGTATTCAAAAAATAATTTGTCAATAAAGTTACCTGTAATTTTTTTTTCTTCAAAAAAACTGATTTCATTTATAGCTATCAAACTATGAAAGCCAGATTGCAAAACTGCGAGCGGAAGTTGAGAAGGGTGAAGCTGTCCGACAAAGCCTGGAGTATGAATTAGCTGTAGCAAGGAAAGAAGTTGGCATAGAACGGTATTCATCAGAAGAAAAATTGGGCGGAGCAAACAAACAAATAGAACAGCTGCAAGGTAAAATTCAGAATATTTACAATAAATAACTAACAGATTTCTGAACAGTTTCCCTATGAATATAATTCAGTAAGAGTGTTTTCCTGGCATAAATAGGGAGTTAATTGTTTTAGAAACACTTTATTAATATTCAGGTCTGAATCTCCTGGATCTTTCTCATTTTGTTACTGTCACTGATTGTTTGGTTAAGATTGTTACTTAATTTCTCAGATTTAGAGTTTTTAAACTATTTGCCACATTTTTCATAGTGAGTTTCATGGATTCTGAATATTCTGAGTTAAAATGTAATATTTAATTTGTAACTTCCACATTTTTTGCTTGGTTAACAGCAGGTGCTAACAATTTAGAAAAACAATTTATGAGAATGACATTTGTAATATATACATTTAATAAACCTTATATTTTTAATAATATTTTATTACCCATCATAAATATCTCTTATACTTTAATGCAGTAAATACATCAAAATTATTTTTCTTGTGTCCTGATTCTAACATTTCATTCCTATTTTTCCTTGCTTATGTTAATAGAGTAATATTTATAAGTAGCTTCATAGCATCCTATGTTATACATCTTTCAATTTCTACTTGCTTATTAATTTTGAAATATTTCTGAATTTCTTAAAAAAAATTCTCAATAATCCCATTTGTTTTTAATAACAAGAGACTCAGTGTCTATATAAATTAATGATGGGAAAATATTTGGTCCCAAAGTTCTAGCAGAACTGATACATAATTTTGAAATTGTTGTCATTCTGTTGGGTACTCATTACTACCTAATTAAAAAGATATTAACATGGTGATTATGTTGTATACTTGGCTGAATAGCAACTTTAAATGATAGCTAGTGGATTATTTGTTTTCCAAATATAATAAACTGGTCTCAGTTAAGCAAATTCATAGTTTGCATATAACTAGTAGCATTTTCCCCCCATTAAATTTACTCTTTTCCATAAATCCATTAAATTTTATATCCTTTTTCTGACCAATATGAATTGTCTGTTCCTGCATTCCTGCAATTGTTTAATAATACTATGTTTAAAAAGTTACATGATCCTTGTTAGGGCTGTAGATTGGCCCCTATATATATGTGTCTGTCTGGTGGTGGGATTCAAATATGTGAACATCCAGTTCTCTGTGTGGATGCCGCTTCCGGAAATCCATTCTCTAGGCCTGGGCAACAAAAAATTAGCTACTGGTTCTGCTGAACTGGTGTGAACTGGCTGAATCCCAACACTGTGTCTGTCTGTCTTACTGTGTTCTTAACAAGACATTGCAGGACAGTATCCGTCTAACACAGGGTTTTGGCACCTGGCAGGTGTGCGCAACTGTCCTAGAGAAGTGGTAGCGGGGTGGGGGAGAGGAATGAGCTGAAGTAGCAACAGCAACGCACAAGCCTTGAGGGATAGACAGCTGGAGCTGCAGGGCTGTCGAAGCTTGGCAGAGGCCCAGGATCTGCGAGAACAGCTATAAGTTGATCGGCGCTTCTGCATGGCTGTTGGGGCTCAGTGCCGGGCTCCAGCTGATTGGCACTTGCGAAAGCACCGCCGAGTAGGAGGTGTATGGAAAAGGAGGGGAAGTGAGAGAAAAGGATATAAAAAGAAGTTTTGGCAGAAAAGGGGCAGCGAGGGGCTGTCCCTGCCCCACTCCCTGGGCACACCCACAAGAGGAGGTGGCGAGCGCCCAGTGTCCCTTCTGACCGCTCAGAAAGAAAAGAGGCTGGCCCAGGCCAACCGGGTGCTGATTTACAACCTCATAGCTACCATCAAAGCCAGAACGCTTTCAGCCTTAGATCCACAGGGCAGCCCTAGAACCAGCGACGGGCTGCCTTGCTGCTTCAGCCCCGCTCTGCCCCCTGGGCGCATGTCGAGGAAGCTGCGGCGAGTGCGCGGGAACCGGGCATCCCTGGAGGCCGCATTCTGAGCGCTTTGCAGATTTATTTTTTTAAGCTGCCCGAGGTTCCAGGCAGGAGGCTTCCCATTTTGACCCCTCCCCCCATCATTGCCTCTGTGCCTAAAGGCCTCTGTGTGGTTCTCAGTTCACCTCTCCCAGACCCATGCACATGTTTGTTTGTGTGAGTGCGTGCACACGGGGGGGATGTCTCACTCCTTGCAGCCCCATGCTGTGACATTGGGGAGGAAAACAACGGGAGAGAGAAGAGAAGCTGCGATGGGAGCTTCTTGCAGCCTTCCAGGGAGTGGGGGCGGGAGCTGAGGGGGGCAGGGCACGATGTGATAGGCGGCACATGGAGAAAAAGTAACAAGTACTCCAAAAAAACCAGCTTTCATTAGTTTGTAGCCTGCCATCGCAGAACGTCTCTTTTGAGGGCACGGGGCTGCAAGGGGTGAGACCCCCGCATGCCCCCCCCCCCTCTCTCTCTCTCTCTGCAGATGGTGGAAGAAGAACCTATGCTATTTTAATTCACATTTTAATTGTATTTGAGAATCACCTTGTGTCTCTTTCCAACAGAAACCATCAGAGCTCTTCAGCAGAAATTGAATGAGGCGGAGAAAACATTTCACATCAATAAGTGTCAATGGGATGAAAAACAGAGAAGATTTATCAATGAGTTATCAGAAAAAGAGCTGATTATTGGTACCTGCCATGCTGAATACGAAACCCTTTTGAAGGAAAGGATGAGATTGGATGATATTCTGAAGGTAAACCTTTATTTATGGTGTCTTCAGCAAGGTCATGATTGATGATGGTTATCATTGGAGCTCTCTACTCTATGGCAGTGTTTCTCAACGGTGACCACTCAACGATGGGTGGACTTCTGCTCCCAGAAGTCCTCTCATCTTCAAGTGGTCAAGGTTGAGAAACAGTGCTCTATGGTGTATGTGTCAATATAGCATGTACAGTATGTACAAAGGGGCAGAACTTAGACAGCAAAGAAGTCTGGGAGCTGAAGTCCGCCCATCTTCAGGTGGTCAAGGTTGAGAAACAGTGATCTATTGCAGAGGTCCCCAACCTTTTGGGCACCAGGGACCGGTTCAATGGAGAGAGTTTTTTCCATGGACTGGAGGGAGTACTGCCTGCATCCCGCAGATGGGGCATTGCTTGTTTGCATGGACTGGTTTCTGGCATGCCGCAGACCAGTGCTTGTCCATGGACCGAGGGTTGGGGACCCCTCCTCTCTGGTATGCGTCAACATAGCATGCATGTACAAAGGGGTAGTTGTAGGGTTGCCATTTTTTTCTGACCTACTCCTATGGTTGTTGCTATATTTATGATTCAGAACGTAAACACATATTCTTACAGTATTTTCTGCTCTGTTTTTCTACAAAAAAGTTTCTTGGGCTTAAAAAAAACATCTTGCAGTTGAAAAGATATGACACAAACTGAAAAGGGATTCAGAGGGAAAAGGAAAACAGAAAGTTGAGGCACTTGCTTGTAATTGCAGCACTCTGGAACTGGATTTATCTGAAGAGATGGTTGCTTTTTGGCAAAGGGTTTACATTGATGTTTTCTAAAACAGTGATAGAGAGAGATGAGCTTTTGTCTTGCTCTGCAGGATGGGTGAGTGGGGGAAAATATTTTAAATTTAGGGTTGTCTTCCTGGTGAAATATTGTAAGTCTTATTTTTCAGGCAGAGAGATAAGCAAGCTGCTTAAATTTAAATGATTAAGTGGGAGATTGATTTTTTTTCCCCTTTGACATGACAGTGTTCCTTGAGGAGAAGGAAAAATGTCTTAATGGTTCTTGGCCAGTGAAGAGTCCAGAGCAGTGGTTCTCAATCTTTTCTTTACCACGGACTCCCTTTAAATAACTTTTGTGGCCACAGACCCCCAAGTCGTTACAAGATTTAAATAATAACATTTTTTCAAGCCTTCGTGGTCCCCCCTGAGGTCCATGGACCACAGGTTGGGAACCACTGGTCTAGAGCATGGTGTCCAACCTTTTGTCTTGCTTGGACCTCATTGAGTGAAGAGTAATTGTCTTGGGTCACATATAAAATATATAATATAGTTAATGTATATAACTTGCATAATGTTAAAAGTTTGCAGTCTTGAGGGGTGGCATTATTAGCTCTCCAGGGCCACATGTGGCCCGTAGTCACAGGTTGGGCATGCTAGTCTAGAGTGTGGGGCTCTTTTAAGTCCCATTCCTTGCTTCCTCCAAGATGTTCAAGATGGGGAACGTAACTTCCTTCTCTCATCCAAGAGTGTAAGTTGATGTTCTTTTGGGTAGGGAGGTTCTTCACCAATATAACTAGCAGATGTTAGCAGCCTGGTTTCATGGAAGAAATAGTAGTGATTTGTAGCTGAATTCAGCAGGGACAATTGAGGAGACAGAAAAGAGTGAGAGCTAGTCACACGTTAAAAATTAGTCTGATCCACAAAGCAGAGATGGGCATTGTGTAGGCTTTCAGTAGTTCTTGCTCTGCAGTTCCCATCAGCACCACTTCTTCTCTCTACAGGAAAGGCTTGATGGGACTTGGAATTCAATAATGTTGATAGTGACCAATGTTGCCGTCCTTGTGGTAGATTATTTCCTTAAAGCAGAATTTCATACCTAGATCAAACAGAGTTTAGGATTTTGATTTGCAGGCAGAATGATTGGAACGGTGGTTTGTTCAGATACAATGGCAGTTTTTCTTCAGATGTCTCACTTTCCCTGCAGTGTAACAAAAAAATATTATTTTCCTTAAATCTAAGCAGTTTCATCTACCATACCTGAATAAAGGTAGCATCCATTCAGACCGATTCTCTGAGACTGCAATGAACTCTGTCGATGAAGAAAATGTCTTGCATGAAATGTTTTCTTTCCTCTCCCTGGTAAAATTAGGAAATGAGAATAACATGGATCTACAACACAATGTTTGACAGCTTCAATTAATTCCCGTATGTCTATATTTATAGCTATATGTCAAGCCTACAGTAAGTTATGATTAAGTTAATTTTAACCTGTATCTACATCAAGGAGACCTTGGAATGCCAGAAGGAACAGAAGAATGTGATAGAGTCAGAGATCATAAAAGTGGCAGAAGAAGAGTTTAGGTGTCAGGCAGAACACTGGAAATCAGAAAGAAGCGAACTCCAATTTTTATTGCAGGTATCTTTCGTTGTAATTAGATAACGCTGTTAAACTAGAAGTAGTCATATCTTTATTATAAGCCAAAAACAGTATTGGATTAATTGTTAAAAATACAGGTAGTTCTCGATTAACAACCACAGTTCATCCCAAAATTTATGTTGCTAAGTCAAACATTTGTTAAGTGAGTTTTGCCCCATTTTACAACCTTTCCTGCCACAGTTGTCGAGTGAATCACTGCAGCTGTTAAGTTAGTAACCCGGTCGTTAAGTGAAACTGGCTTCCCCACTGACTTTGCTTGTCAGAAGGTCGCAAAAGATTATCACATCATCCCGGGACACTGCAGCCATCACAAATATGAACCAGTTGCCAAGCATCCAATTTTTAATCACATCAACCATGGGCATGCTGCCACCGTTGTAAGTGTGAAAAACGGTCATAAGTTACCTTTTTCAGGAGTGTTGTAATTTTCAACAGTCACCAAATGAATTTTTGTAAGTCAAGGACTACCTGTAATGTAAGAGTACTATTAGACTGCTCCCTTTAGCCCTTTGGATATTGTAAGCTGATGTCTCTTCTTACAACACAATAGTCAGTGCTATAATGTCAGACTGTCTCTCCTCCTTAAATAGAACGTGCATCTTTTCTTAAATGTATCTGTCTATACCAGGGGTGTCAAATTCAATTTCATTGAGGGCCGCATCAGTATTGTGGTTGCCATTGGGGGCCAGGTGGGCGTGGCCGGGATGGGTATGGCCTACTGGGTAGGTGTGGCTGGCGTGTGTCCATCAAAGACAGAACGCGCTCAGCCTAAGATCCACTGTAACCAGCAAGGAGCTGCCTCGCCACCCCTGCCCTGACCCCCGGGTGTGCGCACAGGAGACGGCCAGCGCCGGCATCCTGGGTGAAGTCAGCCTGTGGGACAAGACAGCCAGCAGGGACGCTGAACTCTGCTTGTGCGTGCACCCAGAGCACCGGCCGAGGCTGCCTCATGGATTTAAGGCTGAGCATGTTCTGGCTTTGATGGACACAACCAGCCTGGTCGGCCTGGGCCAGGCTGAGGTGTGGCAGGCTGGTCCTTCGCTCTTTCCAGAGCAGGTCTCCGAGCTGGATGGAATCACATTTTGGACTAGATCCAGCCCGTGGGCCTTGTGTTTGACATGTCTGGTCTATACTATCTTTGGCCAGGATATCCTGGTGTAATAATTCATAGATACATAGAAAACTAGTGGCAGAAAAAGACCTAGTAGTCCATTGAGTCTGCCCTTTGAGTTTACTTGTTTTTTGTTTTCAGTTTATTTATTCTTTTAAATTATTATTTATATATTTCATTCATGTTTATTTAATTTTTATTTTTTGTCAGATGACGGACAAGTGTTTATCCCAAGCGAGTTTAAACTCAGTTACTGATAACTGATCCACTACCTCCGCTGGAAGTTGGTTCCAAGCTTCCGCTTCTTCTTTCTATGAAGTAATGCTTTCTAACATTACTTTTGAACTTCCCTGCTGTCAGTGTGAGGTTATGCCTCCGTGTTCTTGATTTTTGCTTTAATATTGAGAGTGCATAGTAAAGTCCAAGTTTCTAGTCCAAATGATCACAGCACTGTATACCTTAGATGGGCATGCCTTAGGAGTTAGACTAGAGCATGGGCTGCACCTGGTGCAAAGTAGTGAAGGAGGCAGCTTACTGCAAAACTATTTTTGCAGTTCAAAAGGCCAGTATGCTGTACAGCAAGATTCAACACTCTTGTACTAGAACAGGGGTCCCCAACCCCTAGTCCGTGGACTGGTACTGGACCGCAGCATGCCAACAGCGGTCCGGACAAACAACCAAAGCTCCATCCTTGGGATGCAGGCAGCACACAAAACCATGCCCCCTCCGGTCCGCGGATAAACCTCTCTCCACGGAACCGGTCCCTAGTGCCCAAAAGGTTGGGGACCTCTGTACTAGAATATAAAAGTCTACTTAGCCTGGATATCTGAAATAGATCAGCTTCTTTATGTACTGACCTGGTAAAAGCAGGGATGTCCTCTTCATGCGGCCGTATCTTTAGAGGTTCACAGTCTCCTAAGAGGAAGGTGTTCCTCTTCCTATTCAGTTATGGTTGGCATCACAAATTGTACCAGCTGAAGATATATTTGTGCACTCAGGCTGTTACATTTGGGTTGCTAATATTTTTGTTGTTCTGTAAAATAGTTTTAATCTAAAGTAAATGATATACTTTTAGTGTATACATCTGAAACATTCAGATTGTTCCCACAATTACCAGGCACCATGTCTATAGTCACACTAGTTGCAGATTCTAGAAATCGCATGCAATATACTGTATCTGAAGAATTGGGAAAGGCTGATCTGTGTGTGCAGCTCATTTGCCTCCGTATTTTTACTCCGTACAGTAGATGCAGTATTTCCAGATTTGTTCCAAAATCCATTTTAGGTCAGTTTGAAATTAGAAAGTAGATTACAAACTTTTAACTACTCCAGAGCTCTTCATACGGGTGGGAATTAAAACAGTGTCAATCAACAAAAGAGAAAGAGCAGAGAAGAAAGTGACTAATGTTCAAGTAGTGTGATTTTCCCCTAAAGGCGCTAAAGTGATATCGTTATTGTTTCCTGTGCTCCAAATATAAACGTTGGTAGTCAGATTTATCTATTTACTAAAGTACAGAAGATGTGTAGTTAACTAAAAATTAACATGAAAAAGTTAACTTCCTCAGTAATCTCAAGATGAGATTGTTTTCAAAGTAAGCGTCTGTTAACAAGGTATTAGGCAACATCTCTAATTTACAATGAAAGCAAGGGAAGGAAAAGCCAGTATCTTGCAAGAATTGGGTTTATTTGAAAATCAAACGTGTTGTGAAATAAGAGTGACAAAAAGGGATTTAAAGAAAAAGTGATAACTGTAAAAGAAGCTGGTACCAAGTAGCATGCATAAAACTTAAAAGGAAAAAATTATCCTAATGTAATAATAACAATCACCATTGACATTAATAAAATCAGTCAATTGCAAAAGGCAGCTTTACTTGGAACAGATTACAACCTGCAACAGTACATTAAAGTTACAAGGACATAAAGTTACAAGGTCTTTACCAACAGGTTGCAGAACTTGGCAATCTGTTGCTGCTGAAATTTGAATTACAGATTAGCCGTGGTAGCATAGCCAATATGAAGTGTGCAAGGAGTTTTAATTCAGTAATCTCTGAACAGCCTCAGATTTCTTATGCCTGGATAATAAAGTGCCTATCTGTGTGTATGTGGATTCATAAATATAAAATCTAATTGGGCATTGATTTGATCTGATTATGGTGAGTGTTCATCCTTAGAAATCAGACACAGTGGGGGAAAATATTATTTGATCCCCTGCTGATTTTGTACGTTTGCCCACTGACAAAGAAATGATCAGCCTATAATTTTAATGGTAGGTTTATTTTAACAGTGAGAGACAGAATAACAACAACAAATCAGAAAAATGCATTTCAAAAAAGTTATAAATTGATTTGCATTTTAAGGAGTGAAATAAGTATTTGATCCCCTATCAATCAGCAACATTTCTGGCTCCCAGGTGTCTTTTATACTGGTATGGAGCTGGGCATCTTCTCCTCTTTCCTTCTATCTTTCTTAGCATTATTTATATTTTTACGTAAATTTGGTGCGTGCTCATTGCTACTCAAGTTGGCTCCTTCTGAGGTGGGTAAAATGAGGACCCAGATTGTTGGGGGCAATGTGCTAACTCTGTCAACTGCTTAGAGAGGGCTGTTCAGCCCTGTGAAACAATATATAAATCTAAGTGCTATTGCTATTGCTATTTTAATGGTTTGATTTTTAATCTTTCCTTTCTGTTACCTGTGAGCGATTATGTTGCAACTTTGAAATGGAAGATCTGGTCCCTTAAATAAGTCAATTGAACCAGATGTAATCTATGGCTTGTAAACATTATTTTAGAAGTATCTGTGTAAATGGAATAAAAATGATTCTCTGTAGCAAACAGAAATGCAATCATAAGCCCTTTGAAAAATTTTTAGCAGAGGGAAATGTATTGATGGGCGTTTGGAAGATTTATGTTGAATCCTTTGCCTACTTTCTAAAAGAAGATTGGATTTTCTGTAACAAATACAACAGCATCATCTTGTGGCTAACAGCCCAACATTGCATGATAAACTTCTAAGCTTACTTATAACAGGGATCTTTATTTTAGTTAAACATGCCATAGCCCTATTTTAATTCCACTGGTGTTGGGAGAATAAACTATTGAAATCAATCTTCGTTCACATAGTGAGGTTGTATTGTAAGAAATAACTGCATTTTATACTTGCTCTGCCTTCAGATGTCATTCTAATATAGCAGTATTGCATTTCAAGGATCATGATTTGCTTTAATAAGCTGAAATAACAATAAATCTTTTGGGAGTGCATATAACCCCTTCCCTTTTTTCCCCTTTGCATAAGTAAAACACAGCTTCTTTCATCTGAACTGGAAAGCTATGATTTCATGGCTTTGGAATGCTATGAACCTATTGTTCTCATAATACATTGGTTTGTTAAAGCCGTAAATTATAGTTTCCTGATTTGGATGAAATTGGCTTGTTCCTGCATAAAGGGAATAGCAATGTATCATTGAGGGTTTGGCTTATTAAGCAGATATGTGGTCAACTTGGTATGCGCTACCCAGTCATATTGTGATTTATTCCTCTCTTCCACTTAATAAATCTGTAAATTTAATTAGGCAGTTATTAGTTCAACTTAAATTTCTATTCTTAATCGCCATTTCAAAAATTTAACGTTAAAATTGCTACCTATATTAGTGTACTTTGCTCTACAGGAGCTGCTTGTTACTCCCCGTTTTGATGGGTTTTAATATTTGGCTCTCTAGTTTATAATTTTGATGACTGGACATTTTAAGTGGCACAATCTGCACCAATTCACAAGGAGCTTCTGGCAGTTTATTTCAGAAATCACCATTAGGAAACCAATATACACTAAAGCATCAAAGGTGAACCAACCAGTGCATTATTCAGCAGGTC